GTGCACAGTTATTATTATTATGTAAATTAAGTAGTTGTTTATAATTTCAGCCTTGCTATAAATTTCCCTTTCTGTTTCCTCAACCAGAATGAAAATCACATAGATAATTTTTATAAACTAAGGTTTTGGTGTTGAGAGACAGAATTTGTTTCTGGCTTTTACTTGTACACTGCAATAGTCCTACCATTACCAGCTCTAGCAATTTGTAATTATTCCTTTTTACATTATCGCTGCAAATATTTGAATTTTGTTATGTGATAACTACATTATGATGAGTTACGACTTTGTTATGACATGTTACTGAGCCAGCTTATGTTAAAATTAAATTGGGTTTTGCTAGCATAAGAACATGCCTCTTACTTAAAAAGACCTTAGGTCTTTAGATCTTTTTAAGAAAGAGGTTTATTTAAACCTTTATCTGACTAGTTACTTTCAGATGGCGTTCAGGTTTGTTTGCTTCACATCTGTCAGGGGTTTTGGACTATTTAATTTTTATCAGATCAAGTAAAAAACCGCATAGGTACATAGTTGAGAGATTGACAAGTTAGGAGGTAAAACACACAGAAACTAATAGGAATATTGGCTTGCATATTGAAGCAAATTTCTAATTGTGAGAAAAGATGCTTAAAGAGGAGGAAATTGATATAAATTAGACAGAATGTCTGGAAAGGCTTCAAATTAAAAAGATGCATTAATATTTGAGTATTCTTGCTACAAAACTTAAATGTTTTGTGGCTTTTTTTTAATGCTGTTGTAGTTGTTTTGTAGCTTGCTTGCTTGCTTTTTTTTTTTTTTTTTAGTTTGTAGTTATCTTAGTCTCATTTAAGAGTCAATGCTCATAAATTGCAGGTATTTTAAACTGTGAGATGTTAATGGATGGTGATTTTAATCGTGCTTTTTTAATAAATATTTTTAAAAAAATGAATTTAATAGTGGCCATGTAAATCTATAATGCCTAAGGATATCTAACTAGTTAATTTAATTATTTGTAACTAACTGGTCACCCTTAAAAGTTATCTCTGCATATGAAAGTGAATTATTGCCTTTCATTAATCTTTACTCTGATCACGGGATACAGTTCAAAAATGTAAAAATTAATGAAAAATTTAATTCTTTGCATCTAGTAGATTTAAAATAATACAAAACAACTTGTCACCTCTGCTGCTTGAGTGGCTTATTGAAACCTGAAAATATATTAACTGGGTTACAACCCCAGAAATTCTATGCAAAGTTATGACACTAACTACCTCAGACTGGCAGAGCACAACTAACTTTCAAAACTTGCCAACCGTGCCTACATCAGGCTTTTAGGTTTGTTCTGATCAGTGGGCTTCTCTAGGCAAGCAGCAGAGTTGGTAACAGCCAGTCGTCTGTAATGAATCATGCTGATTATGATTTTATTTCTCATTTTAACCCCTCATAGGTTTAAATGCCTTAGATCATTTGACATAAAATCTACCCTCTATTTACTAAATCTTTAAGCTATGCAAGTACATGATCAAATGAGACATAAAAGAAAAAATCACCATAAAGCTAACTGTTAGTAAAACGTAAATAAAATGTCATTAATCTTCTTTCACATACTTGTATGTCCAACTATTATAAGGGTAAAATATTTAATGCTACCTGATAAATTTTATAAAGTTGATTTTATTCTCAAATTTGTTTCATAATTATGTTTATTAAAATTATATTTAATAATAATGCATTCTACTTGTGGATCTACACTCATGTCCATAAATTAAGGATGATTCGGAGTCGCGCGCAAATCGAACTCTAAAATAAATATATCACCTGTAAAATCACTACACACATTTTCAAGAATCATATGCAAATTTCAGGAAGTAAATATATGCAAATAACACTGATGGTACATCACAATGAGGAGAGTGTAAGAGAATGATATATAAGGAATACAGGCAAAGAAGTAAAAATGTTCGCAGGCGCTTTATAAGCATTTCAGTGCAATAACCAAATACTTATGACACGAAGGACGCATTTGGATGATTTTTTACATGCTAGAATTATCGGCCGTCTGGAATGTGGGCGTACCCAACTGGAAGTATCAGACAAACTTGGAATTGCCCAGAGTGTCATCTCCAGGCTTTGGCAATGATTCCAAGATGATGGTAATGTGAGTAGACGTTACAGCACAGGTCGCCCCAGAATTACAATGCCGAATGAGGACCAGTATTTGGCAGTCACTGCCAAAAGAAACAGGTGGAGCACAGCCTCAGACCTGTCTCGTCAGCTCTCTTCAGCCACTGGTTTTTGACAATTTTAAGGCAGACCGTGTACAGATGCTTAGGGCAGATTGGTCTATATGCTCGTAGACTGTCAGATACGTTCCACTTACTGCACTGCGGTTAGCCTGGAGTAGAGAGCATGCATTGTGGACACCGCAACAGTGGGCTTGTGTGATGTTTTCCGACAAGTTTAGGTTTAGCTTGCAGTCTGATTCTTGCCCCGGACTTTCATATGGAGAGCTCCAGGTACCCGTTATGACCAAGAAAACATCATTGAACGACACCGTTACAGTAGTGCAGGAGTGCTCGTTTGGGGTGGAATTATTCTGGGTTCCAGAACTGACCTGTATGTTCAAATTGGAACCATGACAAGCCAAATCTATCGGGACATCATTCTGGAACAACATGTACGTTTGTTTCGGGGCGCCATGGGCGCACAATTTGTGTTTATGGATGACAACGCCCGTCCTCACCGTGCAAACATCGTAAGCAAATGCCTTCAATCAGAGGATATCACCCATATGGACTGGCCAGCATTCTCACCAGACTTGAATCTAGTAGAGCACGTGTGGGACATGCTTGGCTGACGAGTTGCAGCCCGTCAACCTCCTTCTACATGTCTACCGGAACTTCGGAGAGCATTGCTTTTTGAGTGGTGTAATATCCCCCAAGATCAGATCGATAATTTGATACTCAGCATGCCTAGGCGTTGTACGGACTGTATTGCATCGTCTGGGAGACATACAATGTATTAACAATCATTCCAACCATGTAATATTGTTTTTTTGTAAATAGGTTGTTTTTGTAATTTGCTCCAGGGAGAAAAAAATCGCTAATTTTTTTAATAATATCAAACATATAGCATCTTTTTTTGCTCTTTACCTTTTGTTTAATAAATAAGTTTTACAAATAAGTTAAATTTGTTTTGCTTCTAACTCTTCCTTTGCCTGATTTTGCATTATCCTTAATTTATGGGCATGAGTGTATTTTATTTTTAGGATGGTATCACAAAATTGAAGTTCAGGCATAGTTAATATCTTTAATTGAATTTATTGACTTTTGATTTGTTGATGAGTCCTTAATTTTTTTTCATTAATGGTCTTTAAAAGTACTTAATTTCCACGTGCAGAAATATGTACGGACCATGTAAACACTAGTGTGTTGCTTTTAACCATAGCTTGTCTAGAAGGCATTTCGAACCCCTGCAAAGCTATGTGATTACAAATCATGTTTGTGCCCCCTAGATCTGTAAGTTTGTTGCACCTGTAGCAAATTACCACATAATTTTTTTCAAGTGGTGGGAGTCTCTACTGTTGTTATCATTGTTATTATAATTTTAATTTCCAGTGCATCTTTGTATGTATTTTCTTGCAAAGCATAATTTTCTCATAACTTGATTTGCTGAATTCTTTTCCATGCATACTTTTACCTCTAAATTTTTTCAGTTAGAAACAATATAATATCAGTTTGAAAACCAAAGTTTATATTTAAATTATAACAGCCTTTTGCTTGCAAAACTAAGCAAATTCTGAAATTTTGCATTTTGTTATTTTTTGACTGAATACTTTTATTCATTGCAATAGTTAGATCAATTAAGTGGAACATTAATTTGAATATTGTGGTGAAATTAAAATCATATGAAATATATACCAGTAGATTTATAAAAATTTTAGCTAAAAGTGCAAATATCAGACCACTGTAGAATTGGCACTTGTGTGTGTGTGTGTTTGCTTGTATTTTCAATACTATTTAGTTTTTTAATGTGTTCATTCAAAATGGTTCATCCTGTAAATTTGTATAAAATTTTTTACATACATCTGAAAAATTTGCAATAATCTGATATATATTTTTATATTTTAGTAGGTGAAGAAAAATTGCAGTCTCTAATGAATTCAGCTACTGTAAGTTTAAATTTGCTGGATTTTCTTTATTTTGCATTTGTCATTTTGACTTCCTTATAGAAAGAAAAGGAAGTGCTGTTTTCACGGAAAATTTCGGATAACATATTTTAACGAAAATATCCATTTTGACCATTCTCAAATCCATTTGAACGATCTTTCTGCATGACATCTGGATGTACGAACAGGATAATGGATTCTGAAAAGATTTTTTCGTGAAATCTGTTCTATGTGTGCTCACACGTATAAAACAGTTAGCCATAGAAAGCTGAAAATTTTGTATATCGGACATCTAGTTGTGCATCTAGTTATTGTGCACCTTTCTTCTCTGTTACAATTGACCACATCAACCCTTTCACCCAGCTTGGTGAGCAGCTCTGTATTTACGTCCTTATAGGAACTAATGGTAATTGTGAAATATTTGGGGTTACATATTTTAACAAAAATATCTATCTTGACTGCTTTCTAATCCATCTAAATGATATTTTTTGCATGACTTTTCTTTGTACTGCCAGAATAAAGGACTATTTTTTCCCCAACATATTGTAAAATGGATTCAGAAGACATTTTTTTCATGATGTCTGTACGTATGTATGTATCTCACATAACTCTAGCCATAGACTGTTGAAAATTTGTGTATGGGACTGTTGTAACATCTAGTTGTGCACCTCAGTTTTTTTGTTGCATTCAGCTGCACAAAACGTGTGTGTATATATACCCATTATCTTCCTGGCCTCATTTGGCTCTGTGTTTTTATACTTATATGTTGGTCAGTTGCATAATTTTTGCTTTAAAAGGGATTGAATTATATTGTTATGTTCTGGTAATTTTTTTTTTCTTTTTTTTTTTTCTTTAGTCAAGTAAGTGTCAGCTAGACCTAACCTTGTGGCTGTTTATATTTGAAACATTTAGTAGTGTAGTGAATTAAGTCCATTGGTGCACCAAATTCAGTGTCTTTTTACATAGTGGAACCAAAAGTTCAGCGTCTTTTGCACTGAAAGTTTTGTCTTCTTGTTTGCTAGCCAAATTACATGATTTTGCCTAAAAGCTCTAATTTTAATTGCAAAAATTACTTGTTTTAACTGTTTTTAACTTTATTTGGTGTTTTATGTTTTTATGTATTTTACTATTGTGAAGATGTTTTGAATTTTTATGTATTTTTGCCTTGCCTCAAAGTGAGAACTTCAATGAGAAATATATGTCTAATGAAATTCAAGGAAATAAGTTTAAGCAAAGTGCAGCAAAAAATATGTATAATTTAATAGGCCATATAAGGAAGTTATGTAGTGCCCACATCAGATTTTTTAAAATTATGCATCAGCCCATATTCAATGGAACAAAAGCTGTAATATTAAAATATTTTAAGTTAAGTGTATTAAATGTCTGAGTAAAATAAATGTAATGTAAATTTAAATAAGTGAATTATTAAACTGTTTTAATAAAATGAAATAAAAATTTTATTGAAATTTTTGTTGAAAAATTATGATTGTATGTAGAACAGATTCTTGATATGTGATAGTCATAACCATATTTTTTCAGGAAATTCCTACTCCAAAAATAATATAAGTTATGAATAATTGTAAATATTTATATATGTGTATGATGATTTTTTTCATTGTGAATAACATAATATTAGGAGTGCTTAACTAGGGAATGCCCTAACTCACCTTTTACTCATGGCCAAGAAGACAGCTGCATAAATATTGACTGGGAGGAAAATCACAACCATCTTGATGGTTAAAACATTGGTTTTATTTTTGAATAAAAACAGTTCTTCAGAAACACATTTTTTCTTAATTGGTATAATACTAACAGTGCTAAATATGGTACAGAATTTTGTATACTCAGTTATATTTTAGAACAGTGGAATGCAGTTAAACAAAGAGATGTCACTTAGCAACCACGTTTAGGTAGCTAAAGAGTGTAATGTAATATGCTGTAGAGGGGTACAAACTAGTGCAAAGCATATCTTTGAAGAAGGGATATGTTTAATTAAAAATTATAAATTTAAAGATCTTTGCCAGTTGGTTCCAATTAAGTTTAATAATTTTTTTCATGTTTTATATTTTACATGAAAGAGGAATAAAGGGGCTATTACTAATTTAAAGTATAATTCAGTTACATACAGACACACATGCACACACATACATATATATATTATAAGAAAAAGAAGGGCATTTTAAATGAGGCTGTTTATTAGGATATTTGATTATTTTTAAATAAGTTATTGTTCACTATTGTTGAAACACATCTCTGATTTTATGCTTGTGTACTGTTCTTGAACAGCTCTATCTGATAAACATGTGCATTATAAATAAAAACTTTATGCAGTAGTATGTAGTTGCATGACTCATATTCATTATATTAAGTTTTCATTTTAGTTATTATTAAAATTAAAAAAGCAAGAAGAAGAGAATGAATTACTGTCAGAAAGGTTGACTCTGGAGAAAAATAAAATATTGGACATGGAAGGTAATGAATTTTCTCTGAATGATATGAAAATAGGCTTATATATAGTATGTGATTCTTTTCATTAATATTTATTGACCTGATATTTTCTGAATAGTCTTGGCAAGTTTATATGCAAGTTCATTTAAAAGCTGTTCAATACTGTTTTGTATTTTATGTCATTTAAATAATCATTTAGAAAACTGTTATTCAATTATTAAAAATTCTTTTGCTTCATAATTGTTTCTATTTATTATGCATCTATACCAGCTGTGTAAAATTATAATGGTTATTGAACTATTGTATTTTTTGAGCGCTGAATTAAAATTTATATGACATCTAATGAGTTATTTCTCTTCCAAAATTGAAAAGTTAATTTAAAGTTTATCCATACTTTAAATAAATCTACCAAGATTTATTTTCTTGAGTACTTTCAAAAATAGCAAATCTTAGTAGAAACTAGATTTAGTTTAAATTAGATTAGAAAAACTAGATTTATTTAGAGCTTTTAGTTTTTAGTTTTATCCAAACTAAAAGCTCTAAAAAAATCTACCAAAATTTATTTTCTGAGTACTTTCAAAAATAGCAAATCTTAGTAACAACTTGCTGATCATTTTTCAGTATAGTACAAAGTCTTTAATCCGGACCTCAAAGATACAAACTTTCTGCGCATGTGGTAAACGCATAATGCGTTTACGCATGCGAATAATACCTTTATGCATGCGCATATGCATTTACCCATGCACATAATACGTTTATGCAAGCGCATTTGATGCATAATGGATGGTATAAGCTAGGCTAAAATTATCTAATTATCTATTTCAGTTAATGTTGCAGATTGCGTTGTTCCTTAATCTTCTAAGGATCGGGCTTATTATTTTTTGCAGACTGTTAAAGCAATTTTATAAAAAGTAAGCTTGAAATTTCGACTATGTCAAAAAGAGTTTCCAATTCTGGAGCTGCCAAAGGATCTACAAAGCGAAAGCATGTTTCGATGTCCATCAAACAAAAAGTGGAATTGCTGCAAAAAATGGATAAAGGCATAAAGAAAGTGACAGAGAGGTTAGTGAAAACGAAAAAATTTCGAGTGACAAATTAGTTGGTATTCTCGGCACTGCAATTACAAGACTTGAACAGTGGAACTTTGTAATTGAACAAGAAATTATGTCTGTTTATAGAATCAAGGAGAAAGTACTAGCACATAAAGTGAAGCAACTTAAACAACTTACATTAAAAGAAATGTTTAATAAAGTAAACAAATAAATATTAAGCTTTTGGGGGGGTAAATTTTGATACCCTTTAGATCATAATTGCTCTTTATTTCATAAATTACAGTTTCATATTTTTAATTTTATAATTTCTGCATGCCATCTTACCAGATTTAAATTGATGATCTATAATCCGGAATTGCCGATGTCCTGACGAGTCCGGATTAAAGATTTTGCACTGTATTTTATTTATAAGCATGAGTGATTTCGTGATCTTTTCCATGTGTAATGTGTATATGAGGTAGTTCTTTTAGAAAGACCTCCACAAAGGCATCCCTCCCATTAAGAATATAACCCTCAAATGCTTTACTACCAAATAAACTAAGCCAAAATTTCTTTATAAGCTTTAATTTAAGCATATCTTCTGAAATTTAAAAGTGATGTATTATTTTTCATTTTCTTATTAATATCAAAAACTTTCTATTTTGTAAACTGTTAATAAATGTCAGTTTTACAATTTCCCCCCTTTCATAAAAAGTATTCAAAATTTGGTACTTGTATATTATTCCGTTGGGCATGAAACTGTCACCAAGCAGCGTGATTTAATGATGTCACAACGCACTCATAATATTTGCAAATGCCCTTTCATCTCATGTAAAATTGACTGATCTCAATAAGCCACATTTTGTTTTTATGAACAAAGATATAAATTATCTGTTATTGTTTCAATTTTTCTTTTATTTTGAAAAAAGTATTGAAATATGGAAGCTGTCTTAGAATACAAATAGGAAGAATAGGAATAGGAAGCAAAGGATTACACTGCAGAATAGGAAGCATTGGATTATTATCAAAGGTGTGAGATCCTACCATGAAAAAGTGTGTATTTAGGGACATAATATGGTAGGTTATTGGAAAGTGGGTAAACAATGGCAAAGCAACAAAAAAAATTGAGACATGCGAATATCTATTCAAGAAAAAATTCCATTGTTCAAAGACTCTGCAGTCACATTTAAGATTGCATACTGGTTTATTTACAGGTGGTTAAAAGTTTACAGTATTGGTTTATTTGCAGTCGTAACATGTATTGAATAAGGAAAATAACAATTGGATTTGGCCGACAAAAAAATAATTGATAGGAACTATTACCAGTAGGAAGGTTGTACTTATAATGCTCTAAACAGAGCTTCTAATAAAAAATGAAAGGCGTAATAAAATAGTAGAAATCAATGAACACCTTTTTATGAACAGGAAAAAAAAAAAAAAAAAAACAAAGCAAAGAATAATCTGTGGCCATTTATTAAATAAAGAGCCATCAATTCCGTCAGAATTCTGGATGAATAATTGCTACAGTTTTGGCAGAAACTCCGCAAATTTTGATGGTTGAAGATATAATATGTAAATACCCAAAATGTTGCTGATTATATTGATCTTGTCTCCCCCTTTTTTAAATCCTTATTATTATTTCTGTTCTAGACTTCCAGTCAGTAAATTACTTTCTGTAAATTTCTTCTGTTTGAATAATGTTTTAGGGTGCAATTTATAATTTTTAATTATTTTTTCCAGTATGAAAGAAATAAATAAATTAAGGGTGTCGTACTACTAGGATACTTAAGTATCCTAACTTAAATTCAAGTTATCAAGTTTATTATGCAATATACAATATAGGGAGAAGTAACAGTGACAGTACATACCATGAAACAAGTTTTAAGTGTCACCTCACAGCAATCATAACTTATATATCTTTCCTTTTAGTTTGTCTCATAAGAAAGTGTAGGCTGTTGAAATCTGGAGGTTTCAGGAATTTTTGAAGAAGCAGATCAGATCTTAGCAATCTTTGGTTACCATAGATCTTTTGGAAGCATAATAAAGCATTTTACTCAGATGCTGAACATGAATGTGTACCTAGAACTTTATTAATATATTTATTTAATTAGTTAGAAAAAAACTGTTATGATATGATTACTTCTTGGCATGGTGAGATGACCTGTAATATTTCCAAAAAGTGCATAGCAGTTATAACCAGCCTTTTTTAAAATTACATATCTCTAAATGACTGTGGTTGTCAAATCTTAGCATCATGTTCAATCCGGGAATTTAAAAAGAATATCACTTGAATTATTCTCAGCCACCTCAGCTCATTCAGGCATTTGCTGAAGCACTGGCTTGCCAAGTATCTGCTGAAAAAACCATCTAGTTCAGATGTTTGTTATGCAGCATTCTGGCTGCACTTATATTTGGCTGTTTAATATTTTATGCATGTAGACAATAACTCCAGATTAGCTGAAAGTGTAACCTCAAATGGATTATAAGTTTATCAGTAAAATATATAAATTATGACTAAATTAATGTTGCTGAGTTGAAATATTTTTCCATCACTGGAAACTTCTAATTTTTAATTAATAAATTAATTCTCTTGCATAAAAAGAATAACTATTCATAGGTAAGATGTAATGGTTATATATTTAACTGCATACAATTTCAATGTGTAATTTTTACAGTGGAAGTCCTGGAAGCCAAAAATCTGAAATTGATAAGCTAAAAGTTAGTTACAATCAAGCTCTTCAGGATAAAGCAGAAGCACAAACGAAATTGGATGTCTTAACTAATTATTTTAAAGATAAAGAAATTCAACTGCAGAAGTAAGTTTTAGTTTTGTAGATCCTGTAATTTTATGCATAATGTTAAAAATTTTATCAACTTTGTACTATTAAAATTTTTTGATCATTAAATAGATAAGTGAAAGTTCACTTACCTACTAAATAGGGCTGCCCTGAACTGCCTTCTTTCCTTCTTGTCGGTATCCGTCTCTATAATGAACTTCGATTCACTGCGAAACACAGCTATAAACTTTTTAAGAAATTTTAATTCATATGAAAGATATCTACAAAATATTTACAAGTTATAATGATTACAAGCATAATTTATACGGAGACGGTCTATCGTTATACATCTGTTAGACGCGTCAGCCGTTCAACTGACTACTTTTAGTCTCTTTCGCCAGAGGGCGTTCGTGGAAGTAAAGTTCTAGTAAGCAAACGCGACACTCCCACCTTGAGGTCCAGTATCAGCAGAGGATGGACCTCAACTGACCTGTAGTTCAAGTCTTTTGAGATTTCGTCATACGTCGAGTTCTGTACCTCACTTGCATATCCGACTCAGGTGTAAAGTTGAGTTCAAGAGGTATGAGGTTCTTAGTAGGTCTTATAATCTCCCCTTGTGCAGTTTTCAGTTTCACTAATCTAATGTGTCCGTCGTGGGATGGAAAAATTTCCACGATTCTAGCTAAGGGCCAGTTTATCCTTTTTTCGTTGTTGGACACAATTACAAGATCACCAACTTTCACAGAAGATGGTTCGCGGATGAATTTTGAGCTTTGTTTTAGTTGCCCTAAATATTCTGATCGAAATCTTTTTCGTAAATCTTTTCTCAATTTGGCTCTGTAAAGGTATCTTTTATTGATGGATTTAGAATCCAAAAGATCTAATTCAGGAACTCCAGTCTCTGGAATTTCTGTTAGAAACATTGCTGGGGTGAGAGCTCTTAAATCCTTTACGTCTTCTGACAAATACGTGAGAGGACGGTTGTTCATAATGAGTTCAGAGAATTTTCCTAGTACCTTTTTCTTTTAGTACTCTTTTTTCCCCACCACCACCATTAAATTTTGTTGCATTTTCTAAGATAGAATTCCAAAAAATTATTTGATCCAACAAAATTGGTTCCATTGTCGGAGTATACAGTGACAGGTCTACCCCTTCGAGCGATGAATCGCCTGAACGCGTGCAGGAAACTTTCGGTTGATAGAGATGAGACTAGCTCTAAGTGAACTGCTCTATATATTGCGCAAGTAAAAATGACGATCCATGTTTTTTGGCCTCCTTTTAAAATTAAGGGACCCGTCAGATCAACACCAATAATCTCAAAAATTAAAGCATCTCTTATTCTGTCTTCAGGTAGTGGCGCTTGAGGAATCTTATATGAATCAGAGTCGAACCTTCGACATCGTACACAGTTTTGGATAACCTTGCGTACGGTCTTCCTACTCTTTATGATCCAATATTTTTCACGCAAAGCGCACATAACGAATTGTACTCCAGCGTGACTTACTTAGCCTTTCATGTTCAGATTTGATCAGTTTTAAGACTAATGGATGTTCTGAGGGAAGTAAAAAACTGGGTAACGAAAGTCAGCATCATCGTCTCTCTGAAAGATACGTGTCTTCACTTTTATAAGGCCATTGGAGTCCATGATAGGTTCTAGAGCACGTATTCTTTTATCTTTCAATCCTTCGAAAGATTCTCGTTGGATGAGTCGGAAAACCACTGTTTCAGCTCCTTTTAGTTCTTCGACTGAAATTCTCCCATGAGTTCTTTCAGATGGTGGTGTTGTAGCATTTTTAATGAATCTAAAGATCCAAGATACGACCTTTATGATCTTTTCGAATTTTGAAATATTGTCAAAAAGGTTAAATTTATCTGTATTCGTGTTATTGCTGGCTGAAACCACAGTTCGTTTTCTCTCTCCATTTACTATATCGAAGTCAGGATGTTCTCCATCTGCAATAGGCCACTCTTCTGGAGGTCGATAAATCCAATCTGGTCCTTTCCACCATTCGGATTTCCTCAATTCTTTTGCAGAGCAACCGCGTGATGGCAAATCCGAAGGATTAAACTTTCCGGGAATGTGATGCCAGTGATCTGGGTTACTCAATTTTCGAATCTCATTTACTCGATTGGCTACAAAAGTGGACCAATTTTCTTTCTGTTTTATCCAAAAGAGAGCATTTGTGGAATCCGTCCAGTAAAAAACTGGAACCTCTTTTAATTTCAAGTCTTCTCTTATTGTATGAGAGAGCCTGGCTCCAATAGTGCAAGCGAGTATCTCTAGTCGAGGTATGGTGAGTGCTTTTAGGGGAGCAACTCTCGCTTTAGATTGTATCAATTGACAAGTGACTCCACTCTCACCGCTGTGTCTAAGGAAAATGCAGGTCGCATACGCGTCCTTGCTTGCGTCCGAAAATACATGCAGAGTGGTACTTTCGTCTATTTTGGGAAGCAATCTAGGAATTTTGATGTGTCTTTCAAATATTTTAACTGAGATGACCATGTGAAAAATTTCCTTGCTAGATCATTCGGCAGATTAGTATCCCAGTTAATTTTCTGTTTCCAGCACTCTTGCAGAATCAGAATTTTAGGCATGAGAGTAACTGGACTAGTAAACCCAATTGGGTCAAAGATTTTACTCAATTCGGAAAGAACAGATCTTTTGCTCAATACAGGGTTTTCTTCATATTTTACGTGACAAGACAAAGTATCGTCAAACAAGTCCCATTTCAATCCCAATACTGACACAACATCTTCATAATCTTTATCAGAAAGGTTTAGAATTGAAGTTTCATTTTTAAGTCTATTATGTTTCCAACCTCTTAGGTCAAATTTTGCAGTAGCCATTATTTCTCTAGATCCTTTGATAAATGAGTTTAATTCTTCAATTGATTCCACGCTCGCTACGCAGTTATCCACATACATGGCTTTCTTTAGCTTTGAAGCTATTTCCTGATGATGTTTTGGTACATTTTCCAAATGGTAGTTAATCGTGGCAGCGAGTAAAAAGGGGCTGGCGTTTACGCCGAATACAACCCTTCGGTGCCGATATATAGTCAGTTTTTCAGGCTGTCCTTTCTCCCACCATATAGGAACCGGAGAAAAATCTCGATCCGCTGGATTCACACCTATCTGAAGAAATGCTCTTTTTATATCCGAAATTACTCCATACTTCCCCTCTCGAAATTTTGTCAAAATTTTGGGGATCAATTCAAGATAATTAGGACCCTTTTCCAGGCAGTCGTTCAGAGATACCGAATTTTTCTCCTTTGCAGATGCGTCGAACACTGGTCGAATTTTGGTAGTCGAATTTTCCCGAAACACTGCTCTATGTGGCAGATAATGCCCTTTGATCTTTTCTGCCTCCGAAATATCGATAGGTTCAATTATTCCCTCTTCTACCCAATCCTTTAAAAACAGTTTCGTAGGCTTCTAAGGAATTCTTTGTCTGAAGGGTTTTCACGCAAGACTTCAGACGCTTTTCTGCAAGGATTCTATTATCTGGCAACTCAGGATGAATTTGAAGCCATGGAAGTGATACCTGATACCTTCCAGCGTCATCTCTTTCTAAAGTACGGATGAAATAATTTTCTGTAGCCTTTTCTATTTCTTGTTTTGTTTGCGAAAGAGCTGGTTCAGTTATTCCGATAGAATCAAGAGACCACAAGTCACAAATTTTTCTGTCACTAATGTGTAGTGATAAAAGAACTTCATTAAAATTCTTTCCCTTTACCTTCGTTCTCCCTAATATTGTCCAACCAAGGTGTGTATTCATCGCTACTAAACTCTCCGTTACGTGTTTTATTTCCCCTGTAAAGAGTTTTCCGGCATAATCTGCTCCTACAAGCATGTGTATTTCGTTAGGGTGTTTTTCAAATAAACAAGAATTCTCATTAGTTACATCACTGGGAAAAATTTTGTAACCTCTTAGTTTCTTTAAGCATTCCCTATCCTCCAATTTTGGAATATGTGAGCATATGGTTTTTTGGCTCAAAACTTCCATTTCGCATGTGAATCCTGTTTCTGGATTATTTAACTTAATCAGATACTTGTTGTGATTTTCCCTTTTTTCTATCCCTCCAAAAAGCCCATGAGTCACACTTTCCTGACCTAAAGATTTTAGTTTTAATTTCTCCGCAAGAAATGTGCTGATATATGATCTGCTACTTCCGGTATCCAGAATTATTCGTATAAAATTGCTTTCACCATCTCCGTAAACATTGACAATTAAAGTTTGCAAGATTACACTTTCATAGGATGAATTATTCGTTAAGGCCTTATTTTCAATTTGTTCTTCCTTAATTTCTCCGTTTTGGTTTTTAAAACACATTATAGTGGCATGTCGTTGTTTACATAATTCACACCTTATTCTAGAAGTGCAATTAAAACTAAGATGCCGTGGGTGTAAACAGCGATAACATATTCCTTTCGCTTTGCATTTCTCCCTTTTTTTCTCAGTAGACCATAAAGATGCTTGTTTACACGTTATAGACTCGTGATCAGAAGAGTCGCAGAAAACACATGGTGTTTGTCCCCCCCGCAAACTTGCGTTCGTCAACTCCGAAGCTGTGTGTTTCGCAATAGGTCTGGTTTCACTCAGTTTGTTATGCTTTTGCGGCGCCGCCTTTGGCTGGACCGTCTGGAATGTACGTTCCCGCGCAACTAACTGTTCAGAAAGAAATTCCACTAGGTGATTCAAATCGTAATTTGATTTTCGAACTGTTTTATTATATTCCAAAACCAAATCTGCGGGCAATGTTTTAAGCAAAATAGGTGTTAATAAAGCTCCATATGTTTCTGAGGTCATATTTAATGATTCAAGACATCGAATATGTTTCTGTATATAATTGAATAACTTACGGAACGAATTTTTTGAATGTCATTAGAATCCTTTAGAGGTCTTTTCTTCATTTTCAGTCAATTATATCTATTGCATATGGGCGTTGCCGTATCATTGTCATCATCTTTATTTCATTTCAAACAGTCTTTGATGATTCCAACCTGTGAGGAGTTGAGGAGCACTTTACCTGAAGTTGTCT